AGATTAAATCTTCAGTGCCCTCCACCCGACCAGTTGGGCATGCTAGCAGAAGGGGGACCTGAATCACACTCGGCTCTGAAGGCTGAGTAGATGGCCCTGCATAGGGTGGCTGAAGCCAGTCCCTCCTGCCTGGGAACCTGCGGGGTGAGGAATCACATGCCAGAGTGAGGCATGCTGGGAACGGAAGGAGGCCTGGGCCCAGTCGGGGTTTTTCCCGTTCCAGCCCAACTGGAGACACTGATGTGCCTGGCATACCCCCCACCCCAGCCAGAGCAGTGTTTCAGTCAAAAGGGGACAGGGAGGGAGGGAGGGGCATGCCACCAGATTGCCTATGCACACTGGCCACGGAAGGAGCTCAAGGAAGGGTCAGGCCCTCTGAACCCACCCTAGGGCACGTGGATGGGGCAAAGATGGACAGCCAGGAGCGCTCTCCAATCACACAGGGGACCGGCTGGCAGCTTAGAGCCAGGAGTCCTCCCTGGCTCAGCCCTTTCCCTCCAGGGGGTGCAAAACAGCTGTGGCCTCCTTCAGTCAGGGAAAGTGGTGGGTGTAGGGCTGAGCTTGCAGGACAATCTGGTTATTCATCTGCTCACAGCTAGGGCAACTCTTTGAGTATGTGGGGGAAGGGGGAGGATAAGAGAGGCCAGATAAGCTGGCCCCATGGCGGCTGCCACTGGAGCTGGGGTTATCAGAGAGGCCTCGGGTCTGGCCCCCGGCTAATTGGAGAGGTTATAGACCCTGCCACAGCCTGTAATCAGCTGGAAGTGAGACTGGGCCCCAGGGTGGGGGGCTTTACTGCCCACTGGCCCGGGAGCAGCCAGCCTCCTGTCCTCTAGAGATAACACCCAGGGCAAGGTCCACCTCACCCCGAGCAGCCCCAGCAGACCCCCATGATGGCATCACCCTAGGAGGCCGTCGGAACATGCATCTAACTGTGGCCTGACCAGGTGACCTTGAGGAAGCCATGTGACCTCCCTGATTCTTACAGCCCTACCTGCTCAACAGGCAATCACTATGGACTTTCTCTCAACTTGATGGAGGAAAAAATACCTTCATGGTTTGCGAGGAGGCTGATGGTAGCTGGGGTGGCAGCTCAGGGAGGGAGGGCACTGTCTGGGACTGATTGGAGAAATGGCCCAGTGGTCCCAAGGTAAATTCAGGTGCACGGCGCTCTGTCAAACACTAGTGTCGGCTCCTCTGGAAGCAAGCAGAGGCCAGAGCAGGCAGCTGCCGGTCTAAGACTGGAAATGGTTTCTCACTGCTGAGTTTTCTGATTTTCACAGATCAGGGAATCTCTAAACTAGAACGCACCCAAAAGAGCGCTATTCGGTTCTCATTTTGCAGATGAGAAGCCTGAGCCTGAAAGAAGCCTCACCCAAGGTTAAGAAGTCACGCAGCTAATCTGCTGACCCCTGTCTGCTCCATGCTGCCTCACATGCCCAGGCCAGTTCCCTTAGAGGAACTGCATTCTGCACTGACCTCCCTGTCCTGGGCCCGCACACAGTCCAAGACTCTGAGGCCACTCACCCCCATTCCCTACTCCTAACAGCGTCCAGCCCTGGCCCCTGGCTAGCTTTACAGCTGCTCCTTTGTCCCCGTGTAACTGAGAAGGCAGCCCCCTCCTGCAGACCTAGAGCTGGGAACTCTGGGGGCAAAAGGGAAGAGCATCTTGTACTGTCTTGTATTCAAAGTCAGAGCCCAGCCTGAGGGTGGGGCCCTGGAGTCTCAGTACTGCATTGCTGCAGGAGCAGGTGTAGCTAGTGGGACAGCAATGACATCACCAGCTTCTAAGGAGTGGCCTTGCTGTTTCTTAAGGTCCTTGGGTCCCATCCCAGCTCTGCCACCGGTAGCTGTGTGGCCTCGGGTAAATTACTGCACCTCTGGGCTCATCTGTAAAGTGGGGGGAGGGGAGCACACCCAGCGGAGAAAAGCAACAAGGTCCAAGGAAGCAAAGAGGAAGCTGCAGGTCAAAAAAGCGAAAGATTGGTTGGAGGCCCAGAGGCTGACCGGAGGCCAGGTAGCTCTTTGGCGGGGAGAGGGAGGGCAGGTGAGGCGACGCCGGAGCCCGCCCGGATTGTCGAGAACTACCCCCGAAGCTGCTCCAGGGAATCATGGCCCTGCTCCAGGCGAAAGCGTTTCTGCGAAAGCTAATCGAGCCTGGTGAGCGCGCGCAGGCCAGCCCCGCCCCTCTCTCGCAGGTGGGCTGGTCCTAGGGGGGTCCTTTTTGTGCTTTGCCCCCTCTCAAGCCACACAGCAGCGTGGCCTGTTCACTCTGCCACGATCCCAGGCACCCACACCCATGACCTCACACCCGTGCTCGTCCACGCACTGGCAGGTTCACAGATGTGCACCTCACTTTTACCGACCCCTGTGTCCCAAGCGGACTGCTGCGAACCGAGGACCTCGACCCCAGAGCATAGAGTAGTCCGGAGCTCTCAGGGTTATGGAATCCCCAAAACTCTGGGGAAGTCGTCCCAAATCCGTCAGGGATGAGTCTTGGGTTGCCGGGCCCTGTGACCTTGCTTGCCCTCAGGTGCACAGCGACGACCCTCAAGGGCCAGGGCTGTCCCGCGCCAGAGCTGCCAGCCTGGGCCTTGCTTTCGCGTCAGCCTGGAAGACTGGGGACTGGGCCGCAGAGGCCGTGCTGCCCAGGCACTTCCAGGGACATGATCCGAAGAAGTAGCCCCGCCGCCTGTCCGGGCGCAAGGCCTGGGCCACAACGCAGCCGGGAAGAGGTCGCGCCTCCCGCTCTCCCCGAGCCCCCCGCCCCATCCCAGCCACTTGGCCCGACCCTGCGCGGGGTAATTGGGTCGGGAGGGAGGCGACGGACGGGCGGCGACTCCAGAGAGACTGCGAGCCTGTCAGCCGCAATTTGTCTAAGTGGACGGGACAGGCCGGGCCGCTGCGGGCCGGGGTCATCGAGGCCGCGGCCCCCACCCCAGCCAGACCCGGGACCGCGGGGGAGCCGGGCCGGCCACTAAACGGGGCTGGCTGGCGCCAAGGCTCCGGGAGGCGCGGGTCCGGCCGGGAAGCCGGGGATGAGGAGCAACTCTGTCTATTCTCCCCTCCCCTTCTTCCTACACACACAGGCCAAGACGAGGATGGACGCGCCCAGTGGCACCTCCACTACTGGTCACCAGCATAGGGCCACACACGGCACCCGAGCTTAGCCCGGGCACACTCATGAACCACCGCGCACTCAGTACCAGTCTCACGCCAGCGCCCCGCTGCCCGGACGCACGTCCCCTCTGCCACAGGACCGTACACACCAAGCCATCACTCCACGCAGGAGCACGCAGATCCACGCCCAGTCACACAGACCAAGACACCGGCGGGGACCAATTCCGGGAAGGTCCCAGCACTGGCCCTTGACCCCGCGAAAGGTTACGGGGGGCCAAGGACGGACAGCAGCCCGGCCAGGCTCGGGACCACGGCCACACCCGGCCCAGGCCGCCCCCGCCCGATTTCCGGGTTGCGGGAAGCACAGAGCTAATTGAGCGCGTGCAACGGGCCGGAGGCCCGACGCCCGAGCCCGCCCGACGCCCGGGCCCTGGACGGCCTAGGAGAGGGAGGGGCGGCTGAGCGCGCGTCCCCCGCCTGTCTGCGGGGCCCGGCCGATGCGAAGTGACAGGGGCCGGAGCTTTGCTGTGGAGCCTCGGCTGCCTGGCGCCAGCCGCCCCCGCTCGTGCCCTCCCCCTCCAGCCCCGGGCGGCTCGCGAGGCGCCCCCCAGGGCCTCTTAAAGAGACACGCACTCTCAGCCCCCGGGGACCCCCCAGAGGCGCCTGTCCCCGGGAAGAGGAGGGTCAGACCCGGGGGGTGGTGGGGGAGGGGCCGAGCGGGACATGGGCGCCGCGCGGCGCAGCACCAGGGCCTCCCGGGCCTCCCCTTCGCGGGTTTTCGTTGAGCCAAGGATATTCCTCGCTGGAGAGTTTGGCTGGAGGTGTTGGGGGTAGGGGTATAGGGGGATGGAAATTCGGAATATTAAGAGCGGCTGTAGCGACCTCGGGTTGGTTGCGGGACGACGGGGCAGGGCAGATGATGGGGTCCGGGCCGGGAAAGAGCCTGTGGCCGCCGGAGGGCAGGTCCGTGGCCCAGTGCTTGTGGCCAGGTGGGATTGTGGTCCCCAAATGCAGCCGCTGCATCGTCTCCGCGGGGTTTCTTGGGCGAACAACCCGTACCAGCGTGTTTCAGACTGCCTGGGCCTTGGACCCCGGACCAGCTACAGACCTTCTCCAGGAAAATGTCCAAATCGCACACACTTAGGTGTACTACACGCCATTCTTGCAAGTTCGAAAGTACGTGTACACACACGACTTTGCGAGTGCATGCACGGATTCCCAGGCCTGTGCCCGGATTCCTGGCTCCGGAACGCTGCCCTGGCTATTATCTGGTCACCTCACCAACTGCTCAAACCTGTCCACACACATCCATCCCCAGGGGCAACATCTCGCCTAAGACGGAGCCGGCAGGACTTCGCCTGTGCAAAGCTGCAACGGATCCTGCCCCGGCTGCATAGACTGCGCAGCGCGGAGTCGAAGATTCGTTCTGGACAGAGAGGAGGCACTAAGAGAGGAGCGACCCAGTAGAGAGTGAGGTCGTGAAGAAAAACCCTTTGGGGGCGGCGCCCTGTTGCACGCTGGGTAGGGGGGTAGCGAGCTCTCCGGGGTCCGCTCAGAAAAGTAGAAAAAAAGTTCGGGGAGGCCAAACCGTTCCGGCCGATCCCCAACCCGCACTGCCGGGGTGATAAGATTTTACACGGCAGGTCGGCGTGTGCAGCGACAGGATTCCCCGCGACTGGTGTGCGCAGCGGATGGGACACTGTTTGATGTGGGCTGTACGCGCCCACAACGCCGGCGCAAACCCGCTCCGGCAGAACTCACCCGCCTTTGCATTGGTTGTGCGGGCAGGAGTGTCACCCGTGTCTAGTGCGTGGTCCGTCTTGCCTTCAGAACGCGACCTCCAGGAATCAGTGTCAGGCCTGAGACTGATTCGAGGCAGGTGTGTAGCCGCTTCACTGGGCGCACGCCTTAAGTTCGGCTCCCGCTGCGCACAGAAGGCACCACCACAGTGGGCGCGAAACACACACACACACACAAACACATACACACCCCAAGGGCGGGAGGCAATACTGGTGGTGCCTGAGAACGACTGCGGCAGGCGTGGGTAGGAGGGGGTGGGGGTGGAGGCTCAACCGCAGGTGCGCACAGACGCTCAGACCCCCACACTCGTTACTCGGCATTACTGAACCTGGGAGACGTGAGCTTTCGAGAGCTGGAAACAAATTCTAGGAAAGTGGAGGAGAGAGGATGCCGGTGTTTAGAATGAGGGATACTTGTGTCTTTGGTACCGGATGCGGCGAAAATTCGTTGGGTCGCGGGTCAAGAACCTGGGGGCTGGATCCGCCCGCGCCTTGCCGCCCTGTACTCGGCGGAAGGTGCACTCACACCTTCCCAGCCCCGAGGACCCGCTCTCCCGGCAGTGGGAGAGCTCTGCTTAGGTCGGGGACGCAGGCGGATACGGGGCTGAGTCCACGGTTTTCCCGGAACTCCCGGTTCCTCCTGAGTCTTCCTGTGAGGGGAGGCGCGGGCTAAGGGGTCCCCGCGTTTCCCGAGTGAAAGGCCGCGTCCCGCTCCCGCCCACGCCGGCCCCTCCAGGGCTCTGCCACGGCTCCACTCACCGGCTCCCGCCACCTGGGTTCCGCTCCGGGACCTCGGCAGCCAGCGCCTCCCGACTCGCCCGCCCACCGGCCTCTCTTTCCAGCACCCGCAGCCTCCCTCCGGAGTGCAGGGGCCCGGGCGACGCCACGGCCGGGAGCGGGGTCGGAGGCCAAGCTGGGGCGCGGGCCAGAGCTGCCGGGCCGCCGGGCGCGGGAGAAGGAGGGCGCCCCCTCTCCTCTCTGGGCCGTGTCAATGCTTTGCACTTGGGGCGGCCTGCGGCTGGGGGTCCTTCCCCAGGGCCCTGGGACCCGGGCGCCCCCCGCCTCAGGCCCTTTCGGCAAGTCGGGTCGGCCCGCTGCGCTTTCCTGTCCGGGCGCAGGCAACCGCGGGCGCGGGCGGCGGGGTGGGGGCCGGGGCAGGGGGAGGGGTCTCGGGGCTCGCTGGCCCGTCATTGGTTAATATTTTATTCTGTTGACATGTTTTCTTACTGCTGAGGCTTCCGACACCTTCTCCCCGGCCCCCCCTCCCGGCCGGAGCTTGGCCTGAGCTGTCAAAACCCCGCCCCCGGAGACCCACAATTGGTCCAAAAAGCGTAAAATCAGCAATCAAGGGGGGCCTGGCTCGTTAGCGCAGGGGATCCGAGCAGGGCAGGACATGTGAGATAGTCACAGTTTTCCAGAGATCACGACAAGATCTAACCAGTCGCGCGTGGTCCCCGGCGCCGGAGCGGGCCAGCCCAGCCCAGCCCCGCGCAGAGCCCCCGCCGCCCCCGCGCCCAGAGCCCCGCGTCCCTCGCCGTGCGCCGGACGGGGAACCGGGAGGAGCTGCCACCGCGCTTGCCACCCGGGTCGCCCTTCCTCCGCGCGCGCCGCCGCCCGGGCCGGGGGTCCGAGCCGCGCGCCCCCGGCCCCGGCCCCCGGGCGCCTGGGCCGGATGTCCCGATGAGAGAGCCGGCGCTGGCGGCCAGCGCCATGGCTTACCACCCGTTTCACGCGCCACGGCCGGCCGACTTCCCCATGTCCGCCTTTCTGGCGGCGGCGCAGCCCTCCTTCTTCCCGGCGCTCGCACTGCCGCCCGGCGCGCTGGCCAAGCCTCTGCCCGACCCCGGCTTGGCGGGGGCGGCGGCGGCGGCGGCTGCGGCGGCGGCGGCGGCGGCCGAGGCGGGGCTGCACGTCTCGGCACTCGGCCCGCATCCGCCCGCTGCGCATCTGCGCTCGCTTAAGAGCCTGGAGCCCGAGGACGAGGTGGAGGACGACCCCAAGGTGACGCTGGAGGCCAAGGAGCTGTGGGACCAGTTCCACAAGCTGGGCACCGAGATGGTCATCACCAAGTCCGGGAGGTAGGGCAGCCGGCTGGCCGGAGGGCGCGCGGGTGGGCGAGAGGGGCACCCGACAGCACACACCAGCGCCGAGCCCGCCGCTCGCGGCTCCCTGCTCGCTCGGGCCCCCGCACCACGCTTAGACAACCAAGTTGACTTTTCTTATTTGGCAGCGAACGAATTTTTTTAAACCAAAGCATCGAAATCTCCCAAATGAAAACGAAAATATGCTCCTGCAAAATAGCCCCAATCGTTATGAGTCCCAAAGCCGAGGAGGCCCCGCGGCTCGGCCCTGGCTGCTCTCCAGCGGTCTCGGCTGCAACTCAGCCCCGCGGCCTCGCTCTCCTGCCTGCGAGTTTGGCTCGGTGCTCCGGGCAGATGCAGCGTCTCCCGCACTCTCTTCCGACCCTGGAGCCCAGAATGAGACTCGCACCCTGCTAGGCCCAGGCTGGCCCACTGGTTCCCGCCGGTCGCTGCGTTCTCGGCAGCGAGCCCCGAACCGGCCCAGCTGCAGCCTGACCCGGCCTGGAGCCTTGTCCGCGCCGAGGAGCGAGGACCTCCAGACGCTCACGTCGCCCTAGGCCTTAAGGCCGGAAGAAAACTACAATCCCCAACCACTCAAGCCTTTGACTCAGATACGGAGAATCCAGACCTCAGGCTCACCCTCTTCCCCCGAACTTCAGGGTCAGGGTCCTTGTTCGGCGCTGTAACCCAGTTCCTTCCCCCAAACAAACAACATCCGAATTTATTTCTGAGAGCTTCGGTCCCAAGTGGATATATCCCCTGAACGGATTTCAGGGAGAGTCAAGAGAAGCGGGTGTATTTATAAAGGCCCTGGATTTCTCTCTTGAAACCTCAGCTTTCATCTCAGATGAGGGAGAAAGAGGATCACTAGGTCTGAGCATAGGGCCGATGGGAAGCCTTATAATAGGAGAGGGTCTTGACAGGCAGAAATGGGGTCTCCCAGGAATAACAACCGCAGGTGGTGTCTCCCAGGCAGTATTAAGGGGGAGAGCAGGGACAACAGCGGAACACAGGTGGGGAAGTGCCAGGCAATGGTGTGTGGGGGGGGCCTCCGACAGAGAGCCGGCTCCCATGACGTCTCCATCTTTCCCTTTCTTGCAGGAGGATGTTTCCTCCCTTCAAGGTGCGAGTCAGCGGCCTGGACAAGAAGGCCAAATATATCCTGCTGATGGACATCGTGGCCGCTGATGACTGCCGGTATAAATTCCATAACTCGCGCTGGATGGTGGCGGGCAAGGCCGACCCAGAGATGCCCAAACGGATGTACATCCACCCGGACAGCCCGGCCACGGGAGAGCAGTGGATGGCCAAGCCGGTGGCCTTCCATAAGCTGAAGCTGACCAACAACATCTCCGACAAGCACGGCTTCGTGAGTGCAGGGTGGTTGTGCAGATGGGGGTCAGACACTGAGCACCCGGCACTGCAGGGGCTGGGGGGAGGCGAGGAGACCGCAGGATTCCCCGGAGGGGAACGCTTGCCGAACCTGCAGGGTGCCCCTGCCCAGGTCACAGCCCTGTGGCCTATGCCGGCTGGGCCTGGGCCCAGAGGGCTCTGCTCTGCAAGCCTGGAGAATGGGGGGGTTGGGGGCCGCTAAGCTCCAGGCTGCTCACAGCCTCAGCTCTCTTCAGGCCTTCCAAAGCCCCTCCTAGGGTCCAGCGGGAGGCAGGTGTGGCCGGAACTGGGTCGTGCAGCCGCTGGTCTTTAGGTTCTGAGCTTGGAAGCCCTGCCCAGGACCTCAGCTTGTCCTCACCCTTCCCCGTGAACAAGACCTGGGTTCCCATCCCTCTCCCCAAATGTGGAGATTTAAAAGTTAAAACAGCCCCCTCCATACCTTTTCTGAGACTCCTTTCCCTCCTCCCACAGGCAGATTGCCCGACCAGGAGGAGGGAGTTTGGGGTTCTCATCGTTTCTGCCTGAGCGAGGGCCCCAGCGAATGGGAGGGGGGAAGTTCATGGGGCAGAAGGGACTCCCTGTCCGAACGTAGGGCAGTCGGTGAGCCCTCGAAGGTCCCAGTCTTCTCTCCGTGGCGTTACTAGGGTCTTAGCAGTGAGCCCAGGAAGAGAGGTTAAGAGTGGCATTGTAGGAGTTTTTATTTTGTTTTATTTCTGTTTTCAACTAGGGTAAATTTTTTTTTAATGGAGAGAAACTGTGATGAAGAAAAATGAGAGAAAAAAGAAAAAGTAATATAGGAGCGAAAAAAAGCGGAGAAGACAGGAGAAAACGGGGAAGGGTGGGGGTTGGAATGGGGAAGGCAAAACCCTGAGAGAGATAGAGAGAGATGGAAAGAGGTCGGGTCCCCAGAGAACAGAAATGCTCGGGTCACAGGCTGGCGGGTGGGGGGGGGGGTGCTGTCGGCTGACCCGCGCCCTCCCCGCAGACCATCCTGAACTCCATGCACAAGTACCAACCACGCTTCCACATCGTGCGAGCCAACGACATCCTGAAGCTGCCCTACAGCACCTTTCGTACCTACGTGTTCCCTGAGACCGACTTCATCGCGGTCACTGCCTACCAGAACGACAAGGTGCGCGGGACCGGCGGCGGTCCCAGCCCCTCCACCGACGCCCTCCCCACGTGCAGGTTCCAGCCCTCCACTCACACCTGCCCGCAGCCCCCGGCTCCCTCACGGCCCATTCCCGAGCACCAAGCCTGACGTCTGTAAGCGCAGCAGCCACCGAAATCCCCCAGGCTCTCTCGCAAGCCCGCGACACATACCCACGAGCTCCCCCGGGCGCGCGAGCAGCTGGGCACTCGTTGGGGTGGGGATATTTACTTAGCAATTAGCGGAGACTCTGGGGCCGTGCTGACATTTTTACATTTTATTCGTTTATTTCTTGGCTCAGGGATGGGAATTGAAATGAAAAGAGAGCGCCGGAGGCAATCTGCCCAGGCGTTCCTGCTGCTAGGAACCCAACGCTAGGAACAGGGGGCCCAGTTTTCACTCTCCTGGGGGAGCCAGAGGGCGGGACAGGTGACAGCCCCCACCCCGCCATCCCTCTCTGGGTCAGTCCAGGCCCGGGACCCCTTGGGAGGTGCTTAGAGGCTTTTCCTTCAAGTGAAAGGGCCTTTTCTGCTTGCTGCCCTTCTACACCCTCTCTCTAGAGAGGCAAATCACCACCCCACTAGGCCTGTGCCCGTGTGCACGACTCTCGGGTGAACGACAGTGTCTGAGTGTCCTGCCGGTCGTTTTTTCCGTCCTTGTGTCTGTCCCACGCGGATATGCGCGCACCATTTGGAGTGCCTTAGATTCGTGTGGAGGCGTGTGAATTCGTTTGGTTTCCTGGGCGCTTGTTTTGCCCGTGTGTACTTGCATGTGCGCGGCCCGTGAGTGTGGTTGACTTTGTGTGTGTCTGCTGACCTGCGTGTGCTCTGCTGTCTGCGCCCTGCTCAGGTTGCGGGTTAGTTTAACTTGAGTGGCCTCGTGGGCCTGTGTGCACGCTTGGACGGATTTCGACTCTGGCCGCAGAGCTTTGGGCTTGTGTGTGCAAGTTGAGGGATTATGCCTCGAATAAGGTTTTTGGAGGTCGCTTTCCTCGAGGCCCGCCCGCCGGCCTCACCTTGCCTTGTGGCTTGGAGCGTCCTATCCCAGGTGGGCGGGTACCAAGTGTGCACTCCCCGGGCTCTCCTCTGGGTGGGCAGCCGCTGACCTCCGGGTGCCCCAGGCCAGGCTGGAAGAGCCGCATCCTGACCTGGCGCCACCCCCTCGGTCCCCGCAGATCACGCAGCTTAAGATTGACAACAACCCGTTTGCCAAGGGCTTCCGGGACACCGGGAATGGCCGGCGGGAGAAAAGGTGAGGGTGTACGGGACCGGCCTATGGCGGTGCCTGGGGGAACAGGACGTGGAAGGGGGCGGTGGGGGTGCTGCGCTGCGCTCTGACCCGCTCCGTCCGCTTATCCCCAGGAAGCAGCTAACGCTGCCGTCGTTGCGCTTGTACGAGGAGCACTGCAAGCCAGAGCGCGACGGTGCCGAGTCGGACGCCTCGTCCTGCGACCCTCCCCCCGCGCGGGAACCGCCACCCTCCCCGGGGACAGCGCCTAGTCCCCTGCGCCTGCACCGGACTAGAGGTGCGGATCTGGCGGGGAAGAGAAGGGGAGGGTGTCCACCGGGCGCCAGGTGGCTCGGTGCTCCACATCCGGCTAACTTAAGGCCTGGGAGAAGCGTCAGCAGTGAGCCTGGGAGGGCTCTAACCCAGGACTCTCCTGTGAGGGCGGTCCCAGGTGGCCCGCAGATCCTGCTGGGCTCCGGGGTAGGGCCCCGGCGCTGGGTGACTCTGGCGCAGTAAGGTTTTCTCTACCGGGTTCACTTTCTCCCACTGCACATAAAGGGTCTTGGATGAGGTGACCTACAACTGCCCCTAGCCCGACGAGCCCCTAGAAGCTCCTCCGACTTGGCCTCCCCGAGAGCAGGCTTTCGCACGTCTCTCCGGCCCGGCGCCGACACCGGGAGAGGCTTCGCGCCTGTCTCTCCCAGGCCGTAACCCCGCGCGTCCTCTCTCCCCGCAGCCGAGGAGAAGTCGTGCGCCGCGGACAGTGACCCAGAGCCCGAGAGGCTGAGCGAGGAGCGCGCGGGGCAGGCGCTAGGCCGCAGCCCGGCCCTGGACGGCGACAGCCCCCCTCGGTTGACCGAACCCGAGCGCGCCCGGGAGCGGCGCAGCCCCGAGAGGGCCAAGGAGCCGGCCGAGAGCGGCGGGGACGGCCTGTTTGGCCTGCGGAGCCTAGAGAAGGAGCGCGCCGAAGCCCGGCGGAAGGACGAGGGGCGCAAGGAGGCCGGCGAGGGCAAGGATCCCGGCCTGGCGCCACTGGTGGTGCAGACAGACAGTGCGTCCCCCCTGGGCGCCGGACACCTGCCGGGCCTGGCTTTCTCCGGCCACCTGCACGGGCAGCAGTTCTTCGGGCCTCTGGGGGCCGGCCAGCCGCTCTTTCTGCACCCGGGACAGTTCGCCATGGGCCCCGGCGCCTTCTCCGCCATGGGCATGGGCCACCTACTGGCCTCGGTGGCAGGCGGCAGCAGCGGAGGAGGTGGCGGACCAGGGACAGCCACCGGGCTGGACGCAGGCGGGCTGGGTCCCGCAGCCAGCGCGGCAAGCACCGCCGGGCCCTTCCCGTTCCACCTCTCCCAGCACATGCTGGCATCTCAGGTAAGGCCTGTGAGCTGGTGGCAGCACGATGGAGGGAGGAGGACTGAGGTGGGCAGAGGAGGCAGGCATAGGGCTTGAGGATGCCATAGGCGCTCCAGTGCTTCCAGCCGGCAAGGACTCCCTCCTGGGGAGACCCAATGGACCCTCTGGAGCACACCTAGGTTCAGGGAGACTAGGACTGTTAGGTCCAGGGTCTGCAAGGGCACTGCTTCTGACTCCTGTGTGACCTTGGGCAAGTCCCTGACCCTCTCTGGGCCTATTTCCTTCCCTATAACCCTAGCATAGAGTGTAACCCATTAGACTCTTTCTGCTATGGCAGACTGGGGCTGCCCCGGGCTTTTTGTAAGTCCACTTTCCTGGCCTGCCTCAGGACATTTTTCTTGGGAACAAAGATCCCTGGCTCACTGTCAGTCCCTGAAAGGCTAAGGTGGCTGGACAAAAGGAGTAGGAAAATTTGAAATATGTTCTGGATAATTGACCACCCAAATGACCCACCTCCCAGATGTCTCTGGCCCCTTTCAGACCCCCCAGGAAGTCCTCTGCCCTGACAAAGGACTGGGTTCTCCCTTCCCCCACACCGGGTTTCCCAACTCTCCCAGCCACATGTCTCAGAGACGAGGGGCTCGGTTCCCCAGGCCCAAGTTGAAATTCTGAGCTCCCAGGGGAAAGTTTATGAAACTGTGGCCAGCAGCAAAATAAGAAGATCTGATGGGGAGAGCGGCCTCTTTGGTTGCTTGGGTGGAATATTCCCTGTGGAAAGATTTGGAATCTCTACATTCATTTTCCTCCCTCTGAGGTTTCTGGCAAATTGAACCCGTGAGATCTTATCTTAAGGGAAGGAAAATAGGAGTTCAGATCTGAGAAGGCTCCTTTGGTTCAGAAGCAAATATTTTTAAAGTGGGGGAGGGGATTCTGAAATGAGTTCTAAATAGAGCTCAGCGTCGGGGGCGTGTGGAGTGAATGTCTGAGGCACTAACATCACCTATCTGGGGATCTGAGCTGGCAAGGAAGCCTCCAGAAAATGGAGTTCAGGGCCTGGAGGTTTAATCTGCACCCTTGAGTCGGTGTGTATGTGATGCCTCCTCCTCAGACAAATTCTAGTGATAAGCATGGGCATCAGAGAGGTCACAGGGAAGTCAGGGCTTCTAGACACAGCCTGGTCACAGGTGTAAGGCCAGGGCAGAAGTACTCAGCACTCAGGACGCATCACTTGGTGGACGGCTAATGGTTAAGTTCTCAAGCCAGGATAGCTCACCTCTGGCCATCAGGAAGAGCCCAAACCTGGGAGATCTGAAGCCTCCCTCCTTCCTCTGAGACACCATGTCTGAATGCTCAGTAGGGCTTGACCTTCTCAGGAAGGATATTTTCTCATTCCTGACTAAGCTACTTCTCTTCGTTCTCCCTGCCTGAGCCAGGCCGGAGGCTCCCCGGAAGCCCAGCCCAGTCAGCTCCTGCCCTCCTCCCCATACCCACATACTCTGTGGAGTGAACATTATCTCAAAGGTCAGATAATCCAAAAGTCGGGCCTCAGGGACTCAGGCAGTGTTTGTCCAGGGTTTCCCAGCTACTGTGCTTTCCACAGGCAAAGGCCTTGCATTCCTTCCTCAGCTGCCACTTAGGTGCCGCCAGGAGTCCTTTGTATTCAGGCCAGTTTATAAACTGATTGGCATCTGGATCCTTCTCCTGGTCCAGGCAGGAGACCCCTGAGCAGGTGGGCAGGCAGAGGGAGAATTTACAAAGGCCCCCGGCCCCCACCCCGCCCCTCGCCTGTGCTTCCCCTGCCCCGCGGGGCACCTGCGGATAGAAAGGCTGGGGAGGACACTGTTCTAAGTGAGCAGAATCTCCCTCCCAGCACAGCCAAAGATGCCTACTGGCCACCTGGCCCTGTGCCAGCCCTGTTTCCTCCCTCAAGGCCCATGCTAGTTCAGCTGCCTGTAATGGCCTTCCCATACTCCGATTGTAGTACCTGGCACAGAGCTTGATGGTGCCAGGTCTGTGCGTCATAACCTGAAGTGAGCTCCCCTTCTGACTGGGTTTGGCCATAGGCATACCGGCTCATGCCTACCTGTGCTTTTGGGGGATTACGGTCATGTGAGCTCTGGTCTCATATTCCTAAAAACTGTAGGGCAAGGATTTCCAGTTGTAGCACCACCCCTAGAGCCCAGATCACCTGCAGAAACACCTCAGGCAGGATGCCTAACCCTTGTCTTGTTCTGTTTCTTCCAGGGAATCCCAATGCCCACTTTCGGAGGCCTCTTCCCCTACCCCTACACTTACATGGCTGCTGCTGCCGCGGCGGCCTCCGCTTTGCCAGCCACTAGTGCTGCGGCGGCTGCCGCTGCTGCCGCAGGCTCCCTATCCCGGAGTCCCTTTCTGGGCAGTGCCCGGCCCCGCCTGCGCTTCAGCCCCTACCAGATCCCAGTCACCATCCCACCTAGCACTAGCCTCCTCACTACTGGGCTGGCGGCCGAGGGCTCCAAGGCTGCAGGCGGCAACAGCCGGGAGCCCAGCCCGCCGCCCGAGCTGGCTCTCCGCAAAGCGGGGGCCCCGCCCCGCGGGGCCCTGTCGCCCAGCGGCTCAGCCAAAGAGGCAGCCAGTGAACTGCAGAGCATCCAGAGGCTGGTGAGTGGGCTGGAGAGCCAGCGAGCCCTCTCGCCCGGCAGGGAGTCGCCCAAGTGAGGGGCTGCTCAGCTGCTCCGCTGCCGCGCAGGCCTCCTGAGCTGCCTGCCCCTGCTGCTTGGGACGTGTACAGCACAGAATGGGTATTTATTTAAATAAAGGAGAAAAAGCGGGCTGCAGAGGCTGGAATGAAGCCCCGATCAGCCAGCCAGGGCCTGGGACACTTCCCTGGGCTTCAGAAGGAATCCAGCTGCCAGGAACGCAGTCGCTTTGGAGCCACTGGATTTGGTCCAAGCCTGCTCCCGTGTCAAGGTGTCATCGGCGGGGCCCTCTCCGGGTCCTCCAGCACTGTGGGGAGTCCTCGTCCCTGGCCCAGCCAGAGGCTGGCTCTTCGGGAGCCAGAAGGTGCAGGCGTCAGGCGGGGGAGCCCCAGAACCCCTAGCCTCGGGCTGGGACCGCTTGAGAATCTGGGGTGAGGGGTGCTGGGGTCAGTGAAGATTCAAGTCAGTGTAGACTTGAGCTGAGAGGAACCTGTTCTTTTAGTCCTTCCACCTCTTCACCCAGACAGGCGCCCCTCCCACCCCTGGGTCAGCAGAGGGAGTGGCACTTCTGCCTTGAGTCCCCAGGGTGAAAAAAAAAAAGATATTTATGAAATAAATGGTAATTTGTGTAAATAAGCTTTAAGGTTCCCAGAATATGCAAATTGGTATTAATTTATTCAAAGGTGTACATTGCTGTGTACATAATATTTAGAGATTAACTCATAGCATTTAATTTTTTTTTCATTTTACATGAGCATCTATATTGTACAGGGCTTGGGGGGTCCTTGGCTGCGGGAGAGGGCCCCGATCCCTGGAGGAGCTCCCACCCCGCCAGCCCCTCGGCCCCTGCGCCCGGGCTTTGCTCTTCCGGCCCGCGGGCTCCACCTCAGGTTTTCACTTTTCGCTCTGGAGCGAGACGAAACGACAAAAACTCGAGAAAACAATAAAACGCTACAATGCAAAGTGAACGGCGCAGTGCGCTCTGTGGGTCGCGCGGGGCAGGGGCGCCGCAAGCGCGTCAGGCGGGACTGGAGTCGGGGACCGAAGGTTGGGCGCCCCGGGCTCGGCGGCAGCTGCTCCCCGGGGGCGGCTGCAAGGCTGGGGCAGCGAGCTGAGCTGCGAGGCCGGGCGGCGCCGGCGCGGGCTGCGGGCTGGGCCGGGCGGCGCCGAGCCGCCGCGAGCCCCCGCGCTCCCAGCGCGTCCGCGTCCCAGGCCGGGGGCCGGGCTCCCTCTGCTGGCCGCTAGCCTCTGTCCGCCTCTCCCGCCACTCCGCGCCTGGCCTCCCGCTCCCAGTCCGGGGCACCACAGCGGAATTGCACCCACTTTCAGAGCCTCTGGGTAGGTGGGGCTGATAAGATGGGTGCTGCCTGCTCCCTCTTTCCCTTCGGAGGAGGGGTTTGGCCATGGTCCCCCATATACCGCGGACCCTAGAATCCTTTTCCATCGCTCTGTCTCCTGAACCTCAAAAAGCAACGTTCTCTCCGTATCAGGGTTGTTGACTAGAGTGGCAAAGTCTAGCCTGAAAGTTCTCCCGTGGAAATCATCTAAATCCCTCTTGGGGGTGTGGGGAGTGAGGGTCACTAGGCTCTTTCTTTTCCTGCCTCACTTTCCCCTTGTATAATAATGGGTTCAGATGGTGGTCTCTCAGGGAGCCCCACTGTGTCAGTCTCCATTAGGCCTCCTTCCCCGTGGCCCACGTCTGCGAGGACAGCTGCCTCCTGTCCCTATCCCATGAGGGCGGAATCTTCTCTCTTCTTCAGCGAGCCAACAGGTGTCACCAGCCCCAAATCCTAGCAGTGGAAGGGATGGGAGACGGGCGGTCACTCTTTCAAACCCAGTTCCTTCCTCATTAAGCCTTGCAGATCCGTAACACCCTGGCCCAGCAGGACGCTCAACTTGGGTACTTCGGGGGACTTGAGACTTTGGCTTCCTGTTCACCGGGGCCATCAAGGATGGTGAGGTGGAGGAAGGGTGAAGGCGGAGGTGGAATTGGCCTCCAAGCTCCCAGGACACCTTCTTGGGCCGACACATTTGCAAGGAAGAGAATCATGTTTGCCTCTTCCAGGGAGGGAGCTGGCCACAGGTCACGCTGAATTCGGCGAGGGGCTCAGCCAGTGAACCGGTGGGAGGGCCAGAACGCTGTCCCACTCTCGGATGGTGGGCTCCGGCTTCCGTGCCTCTGACCTTCGGGCGTGCAGGACAGCGAGGCGGGCACTTCAGGAACAAGGTGGGGCAGAAAGGCCCCTTTCTCAGCTCAAATAAAATCCTCTGTGGACAGTGTGTTTATTCGAGGTCGCTCTGAGCTAAAAACGCCTCTAAAATTCGAAGAGGGGCGCGTTGGTTTCTTCCGGTTTCTCACTGTCAGCCCGTCTAGGAAGAATTGGGAAGAGGCTGCAGAGCGAGCTGCTGACACCAGGGGACAGCACCAACCCGGAGCCGCGGGCGGGCCCGCGGGCAGATGGGAAACCGGAGGAGGGTCGCTGTCAAAGCCGGGCAGAGCGGCCAGTTTGCGGCCGCGTTCTCACCTCGTGGTGGCTGCAGCGCCCCGGGTGGGGTGGAGTGATACTTCAGGGCCTCGAGAGGCCCTGGGCCCCGAGCGCAGCTTGGAGAGTCGTCCCCCCTGACCCCCCAATCGCACAGTCCCCTCCCTGAGTCGCCCTCGCGCCTCTGCGCTGGGTCCCAGCTGCGAGCCTGAGTTCGGCTGCGGGAACCGCGCGGTCGAGTCCCAGACAAAGGCCAGGCCGCTCTCTGGCCCAATTAAGCCACCCGCCTCCCAGCTTTCATTGTTCCCGGGGTCGCCAATTAGGCCAGGCTCCCCGCGTCCCGCCGCTCCGGTGTCCCAAGACCTCCTTAACCCTTCAGGGCCTGGCACCAGGCGCCCTAGACGGCAGAATCCCCAGCGGACGAGTGTGGAGGGCTTGCTGACCTTGTGTGTCGCGCGAGGCCCTGTGCGTTGGGACTGCGGGGTGTGAGAGGGAATTATACGTGTCGGCGTGGGATTGTGAGTGTGATTCACAGGGGAGCTTGGAGGCTAGGGGTGTGGGTGTCGGGGGCTCCGTGAGACCCCTAGCGGATGGGCAGCGAGGAGTGCGAGACCTAGGGGACCTTGTTTCCTGTTCTGCCAATCCGAGTCTCCCGAGCCCTCAAGTCATCCCCCTACCCCTACCCCCATCCCCGCCAACCCAACCCCCAAAAAGGCTGCCGTGGAAAATCTTGAGCATCAGTGGCCCCGCCCTGTCCTCCCCAAGGGCCCAGAACTGGGACCCGCCTCCGCAGCTTACCGCGAATGCCCACGCAGGCCACCCCTTGCAGACAGAGGGGCGCGTTCAGCTTGGTGCTCCACCTGACACCCACAGGTGAAAGCCCCAGCTGCAGGCCCCTCCCCGCCTGCCCCACCCCCACCCCCGTTTCCCGGGTATAGGACGGTTCAAGGGACAGAGTCTCGATGAAACCGAGGTTTAAACTCTGAGCCTGCCTTCCTCACTGCTCTAGGAAGTACCCCAAATCCAATCCCACTCTGTCCTCTCCTTCGCCGTCCTGGACCCCAAAGTCCGTAGCACCAGCCCGGCATACAAGGTCCGTCGAGGGGCCAAGGGCTCCGTGCTCTAGGGCCTGGGCAGCAGAAGGGAGACCTGTGAGCGCCCGGGGTAGGGGGCAAAGGTTGAGGACCCTGAGCTCCGGGTCCCCTCTGGGCACTCCCCCAGGAGGGCCCTTGGCAGTGCAGCCTGGTCACCCTCACTGAATACGTTCCTGTCTCCGTCTGAACGCGCCGGGGACTTTGATTTGCCCTTGGAGCTCCTTTTGGGTTCTCTGGGGGCGCGGACCCGCTCACCCCACCTCTCACTCATTCCTGAAGCACCAGGTTCCCAGAGCCGACGCCGCCTCTCTTCTCCAGGCCCCTCCTTTTGGTACCTTCCTCAGCTCCCGGCCAGGAACGGACCTGGAGCGAGCCCTGTCCGGGGACCGTGGCAACTCTCCACATGCCCACCAGATGGCGCTCTAGGCCAGGGGCCGGGCTGCAGCCGGACAGCCCGCCCCGGGCTAGAGCTGGGGTGGACCGAGAGCCGCAGCAAGAGCGGCACGGAGGCAGAGCCACAGACTACCGTCGATCCAGGCCAGACACGGGCACAGGCAGCCAGCCAAGAGACAGAGGCGCTCCGCGGAGCCCGAAGGAAGCTCTGGACAGCGGCTGCAGACACAAGGATGGGATTGCCCTAGGCTCGGGATGGGGGCTTCCCTTCTCCTCGGGGCCGCCCTGCCGGGCCAGCTCTCCGACCTGCGAAGCCCCAGCTGCAAACACCCACCGGCCGCCTTCTGTGTGCCGGGCGGGCTACGGCCCTTGCGATCCCTCTCGGGGCAGGAGGCCGCCTGACTCCCGCCTTCCGGACGTCTCAGAAGCGGGTCTGTGGGCTTGGACCCGTCGCGCGCCGGACGAACTGCTTTGCCCGGCGGGGCCCCCACGAGGGTGCGGGGTTGGGGGATAGCAGGTTGAGGAGGCTCCCGGGTGCTGGGCGGGATCCAGTGGGCCTCCCGCCGGGAGGTGCACCGAGGCACCTTCCTCCCCCACCCGTCTTCAGGGGCAGGATGGGCCCCCGGTCCCCCACTGCCACCCAGGGGCGAGACTTGCGGAGCTGCTTCCCCAGGGTCCTGCCTCCGTGGGCCCCGGTGCCAGAAGCCCTGGGGAGGCTTCGGGTCTGCGTTGTTCCAGTGGGAAGCGGTGGGGACTGGAGAGGGCACAGGGGTCAGCCTGAGAATCTCTCCCTCGGGTTTAAAAGCCACCAAGGTTCTGGGTCAGGTTTGAATGGGGACGGGCGAGTGTGAGGCCCAATGTCCTATTGCCAGTTTGATTAGGGGCCGAGGTTTGGAAGGCTGATTCCAGCTGACGCTTAAAGTCCCCAGGTGAGCTCTGGCACTCTCGGAGATTACCTCCCTTATTATTAACTAAGGGTACACAGCTAGAGAGCTGCAACACAGTTACCAGCTTCTTGTGTGACCCCAGCCGAGTGTCCTTCCTGCCCTAGGCCTCCAGCTCTTTCCCCTTCAATGTATAACACAGGATAGAATCAAACCTATGGTAATTTAGTAGTTATCTGCATGTCCATCTACCGCTGAAGCTGGAGAGACAGGTATAAAGTCAAGCTGTGAGTCTTGCTGTGTGACCTTGGACAATGTGACTTTCTTCTCTGGGCCAAATCCTCCTCCTGAAGATAAGTGGTTTGGAGTAAAATCACATTGGTCTGTGAGTGAGCAGGTGACCTCGCTCTCCAATGCCCAGTGACCCCCAGTCTCAACGTCTTCAGATAAGAGGCTGGGACTCTGCTTCCATTTAATGTTTGAGGAACCCAAGCCTGGAGGGTAGGCGGGGTTATCCACAGACCCAGGCTGTTGCTGCTGAGATTCCTGGGGTTGGGGGTGAGGCTGGTGGCCAGAATGAATTCACAATTAGGAAATCACATTCCAGGTCCTGAAACCCTCAGGGAACCGGCTGGCTCCAGCTGCCTCCACTCCTTGTGGGATGTGGTTCCCTGCCCCCCACCCCAGCCCTGCAACCCCCTTCCACCTTGGCACAAACTGGAGGAGAGGCACAGCTTGGTGGAGGGTGGGTTTGGCACCCAGCACCACGGTTTGCCCACTGCCTGTGGCTTCTTCCCAAAGAGAGAAGGGGATACTGATGGAGGGCATTCAGGTGCCCCCCAGCCCTGGGATACCCAGCGGGCTAATTCCTTAGCTGGTGGAAGGCTTTGGGGGCATTCAAAGCACTTCTGTGCATGGGCTTTCACTGAACCCTCACTGGCAGGCTGTTGACTGCGAATCCCCATTTCCCAGCCGATGACAGTGAGGTTCAGGGAGGTGAAGTGAAGTGCCCCAGGCCATCCAGTAAATAAAGGAAGAGCTCTTTCACAATCCCACGGCCTGGTCCTTGGAAATGTTAGCTGATGAAGTGACGATGGGTGAGAGTCAGCCTCAT